CACACACACACACACAGGTCCGCTAGCTCTGCAGGTGGCGCCCACAGCTGCCATCGCAGTTCTGGCGTTTCGGCGCGTCTCGGTGTGTCTCGGCGCTCTGATGTGGCTCTGCAGCTCTGCGGTTTCACATCTAATGGGGTTGTGGGGCTCAAATGTGTTTTCAGCAAACCTGGTCACTTCAAGCTGTTTATGGCGTCGGGAGACGTTCTAGGACAGGTCTTTATACAAAGCCTTATGCCAGTCTCGTGTGCAGAAACCATTTTCTGTGGCTTTGCAGCCAAGACAACCAGTTTTATCTTTGATTTGCCTAATAAAACAACTGCACACCCCACGTCTAGATCTGCTTTCCATTGCAAAACGGCTCCAGTCAAACGAGCTTCTGTGTTAACCAACAGGCGGGGAAGTCCGAGCCTGGGCGGTCCAGCGGGTTTCGAAACAAAGCAGGCTCTTCAGACCTGGAATAACTGTGTCATGCAAGTGATTTGATCCCTGCACTGACGGCGATCAGGGAAGTCAGCTTTGATCAACACAAGGTGCACAGAGCTCTTAACATGTGCGGCACTGGCATGGTCTCGCAGAGGAGGTAACAGTTAAGCTAGAAATCCCCGCCAACACGCTGAACAACCTTGAGGCCGTGAGGGTCAGTTTCCAATTCAAGAAACGACCTGTTTCATCGATCAACAGCTGCTCCCCGTCTTTCAGAACGGGCAGTTTAAGGGGATCTAGAAACCCTACACGCCAACTGAGCAAGATGGGCCTCTCTGTCGTTTTCCTGGACGGGGTCTCTCCAGGACCAGGGCCTGGTCTACCCGGTCTCGCGGCGAAGGGGGTCATACTCAGAAAACGAAGGAAAACGGGAGGACAGGAGATGTAATGGCGGAGTAGGCGAGGGCGCAGACTCACTTCAGATGCGTGGTGGGGCCCCCCTGGGCGATGGCCACCAGTATCCCCCCATGGTCGCCCCAGCTGTAGTAGTGAGGACCGGCCAGCGCCTGGGACAACAGCACACGAGCACAGTCATTACACACATCGCAGAAACCACAACTTGTCTTACAGTGGGCTACACAAAGAGAGAGAGTCAGGACTGCTCTAAGAATAATTCCTTACATTTATATATACATATAGCGCTGTTCTGGACACCCCACTCAGAGCTCTTTACAGGTCGTGGGGATCCCCTCCACCCCCACCAGTGTGCAGCCCCACCTGGATGATGCTCCAGTCCTCTCCCCACACACCAGCTCTCAGTGGGGAGGAGAGCAGAGTGATGAAGCCAGTTCAGAGATGGGGATTATTAGGCCATGATTGGGAAAGGCCAGGGGGAAATTTGGCCAGGACACCAGGGTAACACCCCTACTCTTTCCGAGAAACACCCTGGGATTTTTAATGACCACAGAGAGTCAGGACCTCGGTTTTACGTCTCAGCCAAAGGACAGCGCCTGTTTACAGTGTAGTGTCCCCGTCACTATACTGGGGCATCAGGACCCACACAGACTGCAGGCTGGCCCCACTAACACCTCTTCCAGCAGCAGCCTCAGCTTTCCCAGGAGTCTCCCATCCAGGTACTGGCCAGGCTCACGCCTGCTGGGCTCCAGTGGGGCTGCCAGTTTGTGAGTCGCAGGGTGATGTGGCTGCTGGCAATGCAGCCCGGCGGTGTGTTGTCTGTCGGGCTGTGGGCGCTAATTACCGCCGGCTGCCCTGGCACTGTCAGCTGCTCCAGGAGCAGTAATTACAGCGGCTGTGCCGCAGCGCCGCCTCTCTCCGAGCCCGTCACCTAATAATGACTTAATTAAAGGTTTAAACCGCTTCCCAGCGCGCAGAGTGCACTTCACGAAACCGATGCTCTTGGCGAGGCCGCAGCGCGGCACCCTCACAGCTGGCATCTGCCCCCGCCGTGGCAGGAGGGAGGGAGGGGGGAGCAGGGAGGTGTGCTGGGCCGGTTAGATCACCTTCCCTCTGAGCGAGAGTGCAAACACGGGCCCCCACACAGGGACACAGACGCCCAGGACTCGCCTGCGCAACAGGATCAAGAACTGAAAGTGGTCAGCCGCCGAGCTCTTAAAGAAGAACTGCAATCGCAATTTCTTTTTTTGACAGTATAGAACAAAAAAAAAAAGACAGACTTGGAATGAAGCACAAAACTGCGAGCTCTGTGCAAATTCTGTAAGTCGCCGTGTAGACACAAACCCCTGGTCTCAGCGCAGGCGAGAGCGAGAGTTTGTAAGGACTGTGACCCGAGGCGGCCCTTCCTGCTCACTAGTCCCTGTGTTGCGTGATGTCCTGGGATGGACGAGCGAATAAGTTCAGGCTCCTGCAGCAGATATTTCACTGCGGAAACATTCCAGCGTGATCTGCAGGCAGGGTTCACCGAGAACACCTAGTGGTATCCGTCAGCCAAACCTTCTCAAAATCGAGAACAATATTTCTACTGGATTAAAAGAGATGTATTCGCAAGCCTGCTTGTTTACAGTGCCTCGCAGAACACGGCCCTGCGCATACCTGCACATTTCATCGATTCTGTGATGTGAACTGGAGGTTTTACGAGTCACTGTGTGCATTTTACTTTCATTGTGGTTTGAAATGCGCTCATCAATGCCGGTTCTTTCTAACCCCGAAACAGGAAAATAGCATTGCAGTGCCCTTTAACACGCGTCACTCTAGCATGTTCTTAGAGGATACAGGTGGACGCAGTAACACCACAGGTAACATCTGCAGGTTATGTCCATACATTTCAGAAACAGGAGGCCTTTGAAATCTGAAGCCAACAGAAGGAACCAAGGAAGACACAGGGGCTGTCATGCTCGCACACTTCCTGAAACTATCACCCCCCTCTGCAGGTTACACCCTCTGCAGTGATCCTATGCAGATAGCCCTATGCTATCACTAACTGTGGCTGAAGAGCTGATCAACACATTTGTGTTCTCTCGAATCAACTACTGAAATGCTCTTCTCGCTGGGGTATCTAAATCTACTCTGAACAAACTGCAGTATGTCCAAAATTCAGCAGTCAGGATCCTGACCAGGTCTAGTGCAAGTGTTCACATTACTCCTATCCTGGGGTTCTTGCACTGGCTTCCGGTCAAATTCCGTGTCGACTTTAAAATCCTCATGCTCACCTATAAGGCTCTGCATGGCTTGGCACCTCAGTACCTGTCTGAACTTTTATTGCCCTACTCCCCACCTCGCAACCTTCGCTCTTCTAATTCTGCTCTCCTTACTGTCCCCCAAGCCCGTCTACATTGTATGGGTGACAGGGCCTTCACCTGTTATGCCCCCAAACTCTGGAACTCTCTGCCCAAGGATATCAGAGAGTCACCTTCTCTAAACTCCTTCAAATCCAGACTCAAAACCCTCTTCTTCAGAAGAGCCTTTACTGAACTGGTTCCATTCTCCACCCCTCTGCTTTTCTTACTACCCCCATCCACGGTCCCCTCTGTATATTGAAATTGTGTTTTATCTTGTGTATTCTTCTTATTTATTGTTGCTGTCATCCTGGAAAGCGCTTTGAGAAGCCACCTTTAAAGGCGCTATATAAAATAGTTTAGATAATAAAATTATTATTAAATTATTATTATCCTGCAGTTAAGGCCAGTAACACCCCAGTGCTGAGCGCTCACGGCTGTCCCTGCAGGCGGGGGACCCACCTGTGGCCAGGATGAGGCCGGGGGCCGACTCCTTGGACAGGATGGGCATCCGGGGCAGCTGGAAGTTGAGCAGCTGGCTCCAGCGCTGGGACAGGTGCAGCGAGCAGCCCTTCGCCAGCTGTGGAGAGGAGGGGAGGGCATCAGCGCCACCAGCTACACCAGCAGCAAGCAACAAAGCCAAACACACAGCGGTTTGCTCATGCTGGGGGATGCAGAAACACCATTTGCCTAAATATCTGAGCTTGAAATGTTTTAAAATATACCGAGGGAAGCCAGCTTGAAATACCCAGTGTTGGGGCTTGTGCTGTGTATGGGCATCTTTTCCAAAAACCGGGGATCCATATTTTTATGATCATCTTCATAAAACCCTAGGCAGGAGTCACCTGCTGCAGCAGGTTAAGATTCAGATTAGAAAAAGAAGCTGCAGTCCCAGGAGTATTAATTAAAAAGGGTCCAGCTGTAGCTAGTGCTGTATTGGGTTTGTTTCACACCCACAACTGCAAAAATGATTTATAAAAGAACCTCCAACACATGGGTTAATGTTGTGAATGAGATCTGCATAATGGGAAAAATAACTTTTTCTCTCAGATTGCAGGCAGAGAGGTTTAGCAAATACTGGGAAACATGGATTCAATTTATCTCCCTACAGGGACCTGATTCTAGTTTATGAGAAAATATGCAGTGATATCCATGTGTAGGCTTTGTTGTTTGTTGTGTTTCTTATCACTCAATTGTAGTTTTTTTGTATGGCCCTCCACACCTGCTGGCATAGTGTAAATAGTTCATTTTATATATACAATGTGGCAGAAATGTTAGATGAAGGCAAATTTTTATTCTGCTGATGTTGTTTGTAAACCCTTTCATCGCTAAATAAAACGTTTTTTAAAACAATTGCAAACCACAACTTGGGGCTTTCTGCAAGGGAACACTACAGGCAGGACAACAGAGCCTCTCGAGCATCCACTGCCAAAACAGCCTGCAGGGAGGGTCTCTCTCTTTGTTCCAGAACCATCAAAACCATCCAGGCGTCAACTACAGAGGGACCCATCCAGGGTGTGGCCGCAGATCTCAGGGGGGCTGATCAAGGAGGCAGCAGATCTCAGGGGGGGCTGATCAAGGAGGCAGCAGATCTCAGGGGGGCTGATCAAGGAGGCAG